TGGAGGGAGGCGGGGCGTTCCGACTTTCAGGCCGCTGCACCTAGGCTAATGAGCGAAAGCGTGGCGCCGGCTGGCCGGCCTGCCTGCCTGCCGACCGCTCTGCGCGACAGGCGAATGAACGTTCGTGCGCGGCGCGGCGCGGCGCGGCGTTGCTATGCGTTGGGAGACGCGCACCTGCCGGCCGGCGGGGGCTCGGAACAGGATGCTGCCCAAACAATTAAAAGCTTTAAACAAATGCAACGTCAATTGCATCACATTGAAATTTTATTAAAAATTAATTTAAAACGTTCACGGTTCTGTTATAAAGATAAAACTACTGTTAATTTACAATTTCAAACTTGGCTATCATTCTAGACAGGAAACAACAGTCCCAGTAAGTTCATAACAGTTCAATTCGAAATTAAACATCAATTCGAACCAAAGTATCTGATAGACTACTCTGTAGGTACATCCATAGAAAGAAAGATATACGTGAAATACAAAGGCTGTCGTTTGAAGAGAGTAAAATGCAATGAACAGTAAATTATTAACTCTCCGAGATGTTTAACAAATGAACGTCAACTGCTCAACAAATGAAATCTATACATTTTTGTTAATAGAAGTTCATGTTAGCATCCACAGTTTAATTACGAAAAGTACTAGCAACACATAAGTTTGGGTAACTATTATTCATAATAATAATTTACAAAGTAGGCATGAAATGTAGATCGTGTGCTTAGACTGAATTCCTCAAATTTCGCTTAATTTATTTCTGCAAATTACAAAGAATGAAATGAAAATATTACTATTTTGTACAAATATTACTACGTCTATCAGTGAACAAACTTCTGGATTTCACCATTTGACTCAAGATTATACAATATTGAACGGATGACACGACGTCGGAATCACTGTTTAGTAGTGATCGTGTCGAATCATGTTCTGCCTAAATGTCGAATCATGTTAAGCCTAAAAATATATTAATTCAACCAAATCTTATACGGGAATCGGTTATACAGAAAAATACGGACGAGAAATTTAGTGCGATTATTATTTTAAACTCATCTGGAGTTCTGCGCCGTTCTCCTAAACGCCCCCGATACGTCAAAAATATGGAACCTTCAACAAACCTTCTTGAAGACGCTTCGAGTGCTTTAGAGAGAGAATAAACTACTCATAATCAGCTTTCTACTCGCAAGACAATATAATAACGAAAGTATAAATACAGTAAAAACAATGAACATTTAATTGCCATTTCTTTCGAACATGTTTGCCATATTTTTACTGAAAATTCCATATAGTCAGGTCCAACAAATTCACGAACTTAAAACTACTGTGAATAGTCTTCAATCATGTGAACAAGAAAAACATAATTTCGCCTTGAACATTTCATGACATCTCATTACGATACAATAAAATCCTATAGAATTATTCCACAATGATACCACTAGTTTACGGGCCGTCAATGTTTCCACAGCTGAAAAAAGAAAAATATATTTCGTGAATTTTATGAAAAGCACATAAATAAAATGAATAATTGTCACATTTGGTCAATTTAAACTAAAGAAACATACCAATTGCCACGAATTAAGCTACATAAATACAACCGTTGATTTGGCAAGCAGCGTTGTTTTCTTCGCGAGACGTCTGTTTCAAGACGACGCGGAGCTATGGAAACGTCAACAGGCCCTCCACAACCGCCGCCATACTTGTTGCGGAGTTCTTTGGAATTAGGCCCCTGCTTCCCCCGCTAGGCTGCTGTCGAGCCCCGGCGCGTCGAGCCCCAACGCTCCGCGGGCCAGGAGGGCAGGAGACGCCCGGCGCGCGCTGGGCGTGAGTTGTTTCCTGCCCGCCCGCCCCTCGCGCCCCCCGGGGCCTCGCGGGGGAAGAAGGGCCCGCTTCGCTTACGAAGAACGGACAGATACTGACCTCCTTCTCTTGGCGGGAATAGTCCCGTATTCAACTTCTAAGCCATCGCGAATAAAATGGGCTGTCTCCTGCACTAAAATTGCAGATTTAGCCATATGGACCGAGATCACAAAAACGAGTGACTGAGCAGAAAGGCTCGAGTAACTAGCAACAAGAGAAACACGTTGCCCTGTCACAAGAATTTCCAAGACCACCTGGATAAGGCACTTGAGCTACAATTATATTTTCAGTCGTGTTTATAAGCTAATAACACGTCTTCAAATCAAGTCCGGGAATTTCATTCCGTAATGCCGTTCATGAAAGAACTACTAAAAGCGTAGAGATCCACTCTTCGCTAACACGCTCATCAACAGGCAAGTGAAATAAAAACAATTTTTTCAATATTAGTTTACTTCATTTCAGTCAATTCTATTGGCCTTAATTCTTAGATCAAATAGAAGGTTAGTTGTAGGTATTATTAGTTAATCGACCATAAATTACTTATTCCAAAATCATACAATGACATATTTTTATCGAGATTCAGTTGATTTGTCCCCCTTCTGCAAGAAGTGCGCGTCGTCGCGCGAGGTACGTACCTGGCCGGGGAAGTGAATTTGCTGCGGTACTCCGACGTGTAGGACGAGGAGGAGGAGCCGGTGGAGCGGCTGAGGTAGCTGCTGCCGCTGCTGGAGCCGCTGTAGTAGGAGCGCTCCAGGGAGCCGCCCGAGCGGTAGGAAGAGGTGTACCGCGACGTGCTCGTCGGCACCTTGTAGGCCACGGGCCCGGACGGCACGGCCGCCACCGACCCGCTGTAGTACGGCATCACTGCGTTCGCGTGCCGCCTGCGCACACGAGCAAACGGCGTCGTTGGCGATTGGCTCTTTTCAACTGCACTCTTTCAGGTATTACATAGCAACTACGCGTCGGACCAAGAATAGAGGTAAAAATTAAAAATTGCATTGTGTGAGAAAAAAGTGATTGACACAGGTGAAAAAATGAAGTATTGCCAAAGTACAATGAGTTAGTCTTCACTATACACGTACAAACCTTAGAATACATAGAACTGAAACATTTTCATGAAGTATTTCATCATTGGTGGTTGATAAAAAATAACACATGATTCCTTGGGCAGTCGAATATCGAGAGTCAGTTGGGTGAAATAAAGTGATATACTTGAAATTACGTACACAAGTTTGTTCAATAAGTATCCCAGAATCACCACGTTCGTGTTTCAGAGCAACAAAATCCCAACCCCCATAAAACTCCGGCATCAAGTTAAAAGCGTCGTGTTCGTTGACATACCCGAAGGTTCGCTGCCCTTCCCTGAATTTCACTTCCGACAACGCGTTTGGCAAGGCGTCGACCCCAATTCCCAGGTGCTTCGTGAGTCACAGCACCTGGCGACAGCAAATGAAAGATACGCTGTTTACAACAGGTCGTCTTTCCCAATACATTAAAGAAAAAACAATCACTGGCCGCTGCACTGTCGATTCGGAGGGAATGGGCACACTGCCACCACCTCTTCCCCCGTGCCCTAGGTGGCATGGGACGCCAACAAACCCTCCTCCAATCAACTACACGAAAACATAATCATAGACTAGAGATTTGGTGCGTTACGTTGCCTCTGGACAGGTTGAAGAAAATATTCACTTAATTGGCAAAAAAATTCACAAATGGAACCCCATGATGCATTGTAACTACGCAGGAAATTTCTATTCATTAGAAGACACTCTAAACAATACTGACAGTCGTTTCTAGTAATCCAAGCAGGAAAAAATAAAATAATACCCTATTCCTGAAAATTAGCATATGCTCGGTAGCATCTGAGGATCTGAGAAATATCCTACTGGAATAAAACATGAACAAACCTTGTGCCAATACATGAATGTTTCAAAACTACTTCGTATTTCTTTTTGGTTATGCCCTCGCCCAAATCTCACATTCTGGATTCGCCGAGTCAATACTTACAATTACGTCCAATATTGCCCAAAACTTAAGAAGGAAACTGCTGATTTCTTGGAGAACAGATTACTGGGAGAATTTTTCCACCCCCAGGAATCAGATATCATTTGCATCCTGATATACTTGTTTGCCCATTGAACTTATAAATGTTAGCCCATTAAACTTATCTTCAGTTATATTTCATATCGGAAGTTGTTTTTGTGGTCGCAGAGCTAGATGGACTTAAAGATGAATATGTTTATGTCATGACCCAAGTAAAACATTCTAGTAAAATAAGAATATTCGCAATGAAATAAGAATATATGACTGACGCTTTGTCTTGGGAAAACGAAAAGTAGTTTTATCAACTGAATATTTTAAATCTCTTTAATACTTTATAGTATTTAATGCGTTAAAATAAACATAATATTACCGCCTTAAAACTATAAAAATGCCAGACATTTCCTCTTAAAGATTCCGCCTTAGAAAATGAGGCAGTAACTTTATAAATATTCGAATGCACATCAGGCTCTCCTGCAGGGTCCTGATTCGACTTCCCCCCGAAATTGCGTAGGAAGCTGACACTATTTACTCCGACCTGTCAAACGGCGTGACGAGAGAGTTTGTAACCACGATATCATCTTCCTGATAAAGAAACAGTACAGATCATGAGTCCATAATTGCCTAATGGCATCTCCAAAGTTATCCAAAAACGCAAAACTTCCAAACTACCAGTCACAATAACACGAATACATAGTATGCAAACATATTAGCACATAATGCTTTGATTGTGTACAAATTGATTATTCTCTAACAAAACTATTTCAGAGACACAAAATTAATCTTGTTTGATACATGTCACTCAGAATGGACATTCATAGTTTTGTGTGTGTGTTGATGCTGTATTTGTGTAACTACTTCGATATCAATACATTAACAAACGGCGCATTAATTTTCTCCCGATGTTTTAGAGGTCAAGATTCATAACAAGAAGCACTCGTATTGAGAAATCAAAGTCAACTTTTTTGGGTAAATTCATTCTGTTAGATAGTTTCATTTATTCGCTAAATCAGTTGACACCATACAAGAAATATAAATTAACACCTTACGACAACGTAAAACAGGCCTAATCATTTATTCTCAGACTTTTTCATTCAAATACCTCTCTCTTCCTTTCTCTAGAAAGAAACCTTCCTTCCCCGAGCTCAAAGCGAAAGGAATAGTCCGCTTCAACGCGAGGGATCGACTCAAGATCAAAATCAGCGCGCTGCCCGAGCCAAAAGCCGGAGCCGCGCTGCGCCTGCCAAGACGCAGCCGCGAACGAGAATAATAGAAGCGCGGGAGCCCACGAACTAATCGGCGCCCTGCCGCCCCGGCTCCAGACGCCAGCGGCCACGCGTCCTAAGCGAATGCGTCGCGACACGTGGGACTTGGGTTGCTGAAGGGGAGGCCGCAACAGCGACGGAGGACTGCGAAGGCGAGGGTAGATAGATTGGTGATCCCGGGCGCACTCAAGTCGTTAGTCGCACGCGACTAAGATCTTTAAACCCGTAAATGTAGTGCATGTTTTAATTCCTGAAGGTGGCGGTGGTCTTCCCCGGCTGGATGGCGAATTTCAGCGACGACCCACCCGTCGGCTTACGGGGTTTTTCACCCAACCAGGTATCTCCCCACAGAACATCGCTCCACCCGGGACAAGCTCTAAATCCCCGACTGGTCTACCGGCATGTGCGCAAGTGTACTGCGAGTAGGAGCAAGGGGACGAGACTAGGACACGTAAGAGGAATGAAAGTTCGCGCTCGGTCCGTGGCCTGTGTGTTAGGGTACTGCTCCGGCACACGCCTTTGGTCCATCGGAGAACCCACGGAAAACTATCGCACAGAGCAGTCGGCCGCAACATCTCTCCTCCAGAGAGCGGCTGAATTCGACCTAGGTTTGCAGCTAGTGTCGAATATCCTGATACCGTCGGGACTCCAAACCTAGGACCTCCTGGTCAATGGCGCTGCAGAGACATCAATTGGACCCACCTAAGCCAGTTCGAGCAGTAGGACGGATAATATTAATCATATATATATATAATATACTATATATATATATATATATTTATATATATACTCATACATATATGGTAGTGATAGGGGTAATGGCAGCACCAGGGTGTAATGACGTTCCAGATCTCTCGCGGTGAAGGGAGAGTTGAGAAGACTGCAGCAGGCGAGGCATTCGAGAGCGATGGAGGCAGGACAGGGTTTAGGCTGAGGCGACGTAAGCTGGGAGCAACACCGGGTGGCAGTGGGCTTGGCCATCGGCGGGCGGTAGCGCAGCGAAGGCGTAGGCTGGTTCAGACACGTCGACGCCTGTAGGACAGTCAACGGCGATGGGCAACGACGACGTGGCAGTGGGCGAGCGCGCCGGCCCAGAGGGCAGCAACGGCGGGCGTCGGTCGGCTGGCACGTCGCCGCGCTTCGCCTCTCTCGCTTCCTTGCGAGCGGCCGCAGGGCGACGGGCGTCGGGCGAGGGCGCACGCGCCGCGCCCAATTAATCCACGGGGCGGGCGACGACGCGTCCCGGCCCGCCCACTCCGCGCCCTTGCGCGCGTCCCGCTCAACCTCGAAAGTGTTCGCCTCCGGTTTCGAAACGAGCCACAGGCTGCGCTGCTCCGCTTTTGCGCCCCAAAACGTCGCTCCACGGCCCACGCGTCTCCATTCCTACGGAACGTCCCTCAAACGCTTCGTCTCTTAAACGAACCTGATATTTGGACCTTATGGTGGACTCGGTTTAATTGGACGTTGGATAATCCTTCGTAAACTCTACAATAGACATGGTCTTGAAATTCTGAATTAAGTCAACGTTAAATTGGGTTTAATTGGAATTTTCGCAAGTTATATTCGAATATTTCGAACTCAGAACGTGCAATCTATTAGTAAACAAACTAAAATTCTGAATAATAAGGAATTTCAGTGTTACTTCACCAATAGGTACACGAATACTGCGTCCAGCAAAAGAGGCGATGTTGTCAATGAGGTCCACAGCTCCAGAAACGGTACTGAACAGAACGTGATAACGGAATGATTCGACTTGAATACACAAAACAGTAATTAGGTTGAGATAAATGTAAATATTTTTTTAGTGTTCTTAAAATTGATGAAACATTAGATACGAAACTGGGAGATAAAACTTTCCATTTTACAAATCGAACCTGCTCTTTCCAATTGAAATACAATTACATCTGTAAGTAGTAACTTAAACTGATGAAGAAATGCCCTACTACTCCAAGTGGCAAAGAAGTCTACATCCTTTCCCCAAAAAAGTATATAACTCAGCATTAAGCATTGTGTTCAACGGGGTACTTTTGATATGTTTTTGATCCCAGACCGTCAATCGTCCCACTGAAGAAGCCGAGCATTGATCCGTCCAGCAAACGGCCCACACAAAGGGATGCCCAAACCGCCACGAGAAGAATGCAGAGACGGTCATGCTCTCCCAGGCCGCGGGGGAGCAATCTCCGGTGGCTCATCCGGCAGCCAGTGCGCCCAACCTCAGCCCAGCGATGACCTCCGGAAATTTGTAACGGCCCGGCTCCTCTGCGTCCAACACTCAATAAATAACGAGTGCCTTCCGCTTAAGAGTACGCGGCGCGGCCGGTCGGCCTCGTGGCGTCCAGGCCTTCCCTTTGCGGCAGCCCGTGGGCTCGCCCGGGCCTGCGGCTTAGCTAAGCGGGATACGGCCGCCCCGGGGCAGCTCCGAAGAAAACAATTCAGAACTAATCTTCCTCCAACGCACTGGCATTGACGATGACAAAACATCCCATTTTATTATTTTTTTTTCTTTTCTTTTCAGAAAGATTCAAGACCTCCACTAGTTCAGGGGTCGAGGCGACGCAGAGTTGCAGTGGAGTGCG